CATTTTGATGTGGTAAAAAGACATAAAATAATTAAATATGTTTTAGACTACTAGAAGGTGACTTCAAGGGTTTTGTTGAGAGTTTTAATGTTGTCTGAGAAGCGAGAAAAAAGATAATTGACTGGTGATAGTAAAAAGGAGGGACAAAGAAAGTGGTTTGTCTTCATGTAAAATGTCTGCTGTGCCAAAATGTAAAAAAAGATAAAACTTAGAGGTATATTTTAAGTTATAAAAAGCTCGAGATGATATAAATTTTATTTGTCTTGGTTATAGTACTAAAAACAGCAGGTTTGACAAGAAGTAAATGTGTTCAAAATTTGACAGTATTAGATCAGTTATGGTAGATTTATTTATAAGATTCTAAACCTTTGCTGCAAAGTGTTTCCATTAATATGAGATTATAGATGATAATAGAGTTAAGATATAAGTTCTTACATGTGCTGTGGACATCTGGGAGATTATATGGCACAATTTTGTTACCTATGAAAAAGCTTCTTTTTGTTAAGTATGTAATTTCAGTAAAATGATGGCCTGCCAGGTGGCACCCTGGGACAAAAGGTGGTGTGCTATCCAGATAAAGCCTGCTCTCTGATATGGAATGCCAAAACCATGTTGTCCTTTTGTCCCAAGCCGATTGGACATCCAGAGGTAAGGAGGTTTCCCTAGTATTGCCAGTTGTTCTCTTTGCAACTCAGTCGGCCCCACATGTTAGAAAAAAGATTACAAAGGTTTGAGAGTTTAAAAAAAAATGCCCCTCAGCCAGTTGATAGAGATAGCACAAAAGGTCTTTTAAAACTGGAAAAATTACCGTCTACTGGGAAATTTGTCCAGCGTACCTGAGTCGTCACAACTGACTTAGAGTAAAACTGTTGAGCAAATGGAATCGGGAGATTCCAAAAGTCTGGGCAGAAGACATTCCTCCAGGGCTAGCAGTCAACCAAGTCCCCCTTCTGATGGAACTCTTACCCCAAGCATGCCCCTTTTGCTTGTGGCAATGCCCGATAAGCTGCAGGCCCGGAAAGGGATTTAAAGTCCACATGCAGAGGCTAAGAGACAATGATATTCTCATTCCTTGTGTCTCTCCCTGGAACATGCCCTTGCTTCCAGTCACTGAAGCCAGGGACAAATAACTATCGCCCTGTACAGGATCTCAGAGAGGTTAATAGACGAGTTCTGAGTCTATACCCAACAGTGCCAAATCCTGAGAACACCTGGTACTCTGTTCTGAACCTGAAAGATGCTTTCTTCACTTTGCCACTTACTCTGGTGAGTCAACTCCTTTTTGCCTTTGAATGGACTGACCCAGATACGGGGGTAAAAAAACAGCTGACCCGGACACATTTACCTCAGGGTTACAAGAACTCTCCCACTCTTTTTGATGAGACACTATTTCTGGAAACAGCGGCTTCAAACTCTGGCTACTTTGCTGCCTGAGGATGACCCCTCGTTGCCTCACTACAATTGTACTGAGGTCATTGATCACCTCACGGGACTTCGACCTTATCTAGTGGATAAGCCATTATCTAGAGTTCCATCCTACTTCTCTGATGGAAGCAGCTACGTCTATCAAGGTAAGCGGGTCTTGGGAGCTGCCGTTACACAAAATCTCAGGTTCTATGGGAACAAATCTTAGAGCCAGAGACATCAGCATAGTGGGCTAAACCCATTGCCCACACTGAGGCCTCAAGTTGTCTTTATCAAAACTGGGGTTTATTGTCTTCTGGAGTCAAAAGATTAAATTGCTCCCCAAATTTAGACTTGTTGGCTGCCATCTAGATGCCAAAGAGAATGGCTACTATCTGCTATATAAGCCATTGGGCAAAAGATGATCTTGTTATAGGAAAAAATAATTTGACAAATGCCACCTTCCAAAAGATAGCCAGAAAGCCCCAAAATCAGTGGGGATTGAGATAAGCTTGACATTACTGCTGATCCCACCTATTTTCTTTGTCAGAGCCCATTTACACTTAAAAAGACCAGCATCTGGCAGCTCAACTTCCGAGAGATTCCCGGGGGCTAATATCAAGCCAGCCCAGTCTGTGAGCTTCAGATGCCCTCAGTGCCAATTGGTAAATCTAAAAGTACTACAACAAATAAAAACCACTAGTTATCGTAAAACTATGCCTAAAAACACTAGAAAATAGATTTTACAAAAATAAAAAGCCTAAATTTCAAAGATATAAGTGTTTTCTACTTAGTCTGAGTCAGCTCTGATAGCAGTTTCTCTGATTTGGTCTCCCTTTTTATCCGTGGGGTCCGACAATGGCCTGGCTTTTATAGCCTAGTAACTCAAATTAACCTAAGCTTTACAGATCAATTAAAAAACTCGATTGGGCTTACCAGCCTCAGAGTTCAGGAGAGGTAAAAAGATAAGTTAGATTTTAAAGACTATAATTACTAATGGCCTTAAGAACTGGCGAAAACTGGGTGAGTCTCTTTTCCTTCTGCCCCTTTGTGTGCGTGATGCATCCCCTATGTTGCAGATATTTCCTCTTTTGAGGTTTTATATAAGAGATCTTCCTCTTATCATTAAAGGTTTCTAAAATTAGCTGATTTAACTAATCAAGATCTTATTAAGTCTCCCCCAGACTTTTCAGCCAGCTCTGACTTCCATCCACTGGTTATTTCGCTGCTGCCCACTGCGAGCTAAAGAGCCTAGGCACCTAGACAAGCGACCTCACCGTAAATCACTTGAGCCGCAATGGACTGTCAAAGTAGCTGAAAGCCTGCCTGGATTCAACGTTCCCACTGCAGACAGGTCCCAGCTTCAAAAGACCATTAGCCTGCGGATAAGTGAACTGTTATTTCTTCCAAGGACACTTTAAAGCTTAAGATTGTCTAATATAACTGATAATTTTGTGTTCTCCTCCTTTGTAGAGACCCCAAAGAGGCCTCTGTCTGACTTAAAAATTGTTACTTGTATGATAAAACAGAGTAAATTTAAATGTTGGTTTTCTTTCTCCTTTTGGTTAACAGCTTTAATGACAGCTACAAGACCTTTGTTAATCCTCCTACTGGGCCTTGTGTTGTAAACAAGTTGATAAACTATGTCAAAGTTCTTAAAAGCTTATAATTTTAAAGACACATACAAGGTTATAAACAGATGCTAAGGAGTCAATGATTTGACACACTGACTAAAATCAGTGGGGAATGTTGTACCCTAAGAAAATAGCTTTGTTATATGTGTATTATAGCAAACCTGTATAGGGGCTTACTAAATGTGTTTGTTTTATCCTTTTTCCCTAACTGATATGTTAAGGGACCTAATTGATCTGTTGAGCAACACTCTCCTCTGTAAAGAATTGCAAGAATCTCACCTAATTGATATGTTAACCATTGTTGCTCTCTACAAACTACAGAAGCTGTGCTAAAACAAGCTAACAAGGGTTGTTAATCACTGCTAGGAGCCTCTATTCTCCGCTAAAGAGCTAAGGAAAACTAGAATGGCAATTAATTTACATTTGTTTAAAATAACCTGCTTGTGTGCAGAGAGATTTGCGTGTGAGTTTAACCCTTTACCCTGACCTTGACACATTACCGCCGTTTTCTGTTCTGTATGGCGCCTTATTGCCTCCCTCTCCCCTCACCTATCTATCTAGGCCACAAAGAATTTGGGTTTCTGGTGACCTCCCCCTGACCCGGTGATGATCTGTTGTAAAATGAGCGTGCCCCAATTTTAAGAACTGCTTAGCTTAAACAAATTACCGGGTAATACTATGGCCCAAACCCCAATCGGTGCTTTCCTTTTGTTCTGTATGTATCAAATGAGTTAGATATCAGGTCTTCGTAAAACTTAAGTTCCAGCGTCTCATAACTTGTGACCCCTTCGCACTCACTAGCGAAGACAAGCTGTCCTGAGATAATTAACTGTCCACTTTCTTCTCCAAATATTGCTGCAGACGTGCCACTCTGAGATAATGTCAGTCTGCAGGATGGAAATAATTTTTAAAAAACACCAGAAACTCCCTAGATTGTCAGAGCTAAGTGGACAGCAATACAGTTTCCAGACTCGGGTCAACAAGTTTGATGGCTCTACAGGTTTCTTTGTTTCTCTCCCCCCGCCCTTTCCTCCAGCCCCTTTTTAAAGTCCTCCCTTCAGCTTCTAGGGGACAGTCTCCAAATTGGCTCCCGGAGACTGGTCGCCAGGCCTGGAAATAAAGCCTTTGCCACTAAATTTTCGGTCTCTTGCCTCCTTGGATTTTATACCGGGGCTCAAGTTATAACAATATTAAGGGACATGGATCAATTTAATGGGTATTGTAGGTTAGATCTAGAATAGCCCCCCAAAGCCTCATGTGTTATAGGCTTTTGGAAGATGGTAAGATGATGGGATGCAGTAATTATCAGTAGATTAATCCACAGATAAATTCATAAATGACTTGCTGTTAGGAGGCAGGGCCTGGTTGGAGGTGGCTCACTGGGGGCTTTACCTGGAAGGTTACATCTCCTTCTAGGGCTCCTTTGATTGCCAAGATGCGAACAGCTTGTCTAGTGTGTCTCCCTGCTGTGTTGTTTCTGTCTTGGAGCTCTCCAACCATAAAATTAATCCACTGAAAGTTTGAGCCTAAATAAACACCGCCTTTAAGTTGTGGGTGTTTGGATGTTGTGTCTCAGCGATGAGACAATCAGTGGAGACCATGACAAATCATAAAAAAGGCTGAAAAAACATGTATTTTATATAAGTGAGGAAGAAGGCTATTGAAAAAGTTGGTTTTTGTTTTATTTTTTTCAGCAGAAGCCTGATTACCCTGAAGATCAGTTAGTGCTGATGAAAAAATTTGACTTGAGTGACCTTGCCAGTTTCCATTTTGAGACAGCCACACACATGGTTTACCCCCTGGTAAAGCTACAAACACAATTCTCAATAAGAAAGGATAGAATTCAGCCTAAGGACTTTTCCAAAGGGGAAAATAGGCTATAGTGAGAATTGGGTAGTTGCTAGATACATTTTGGTAAAATGTCAAGGGTGAAAAGAATATTCAAAAAATTCCCAGAAGATCTAAAAGTGTATTCTTTTATTTATTTTTTATTTTGAAGGTAGTAGAATACAACAGAACAAGACAGAGCAAAGCCAATCGAGACAATGCAGTGAAACTGGTACAGAACTTCAGGGCAAGATACTGGGATAACAGTAATAGATCCCATAGTATATCTCATTATCTTCACAATAGTTGTTCATTCAATTGGGTATAGCAAAATCAAACCAAAAACATAACATTATAAAACTTACCAAAACAGAATATTGAATAGAGCAAAATAATCAGAACAATGCAAAAAGTGATAACAACATTTGCCTTCAAAGAGAAGATAGAAGGAAATCCCCCATATTTGCTATATTGCATATGGTCATCCTCCCAAGAGATGCTCAGACCTCTGGCCCCAGGTCAGCATAATCAGCCCAACAACACAAGCATTTAGTTGCTTTATGTGCCTTAGTTGCTATCAACTACAGCTGACCTCAAAACTATCCTGTTGCTAATGGGGGTGGGGTGGGGAATATGGGACATTTGATTCTCAGCCCCTAAGCTCATGGGAGACACTGACTTGTTCTCTTCCTGGTGCATGGCTGCTTGCTTGTGCCCACCGCTTACCAGGAAGGAAAGCTTGTTGATTTCTTGCTCAGTCCCCAGTTCCTGCATGGCTGGATCTCGCTAAAAGTGTGTTCTTAAAGGAATAAGAGACCAACTGGCTTTGGAATTTTGGCATTGTGCAAGGTGCTAGTAGGCAATTGAGATATAGCTACAGGGTTCTGAAAGAACATATTTATTTAATTTTATTTTAATTTTTGTGGTACTGGGGATTGAATTAAGGGCTTTGCACTGAGCTATATCCCCAACCTCTTTTTTAGTTTTTAATATGAGAGGGGTGTTCACTGAGTTGATAAATTCTCTAGGATGGCCTCAAATTTGCAATCTTACTGCATCAGCCTTCCAGAGGGCTGAGATTACAGTATGTATCACCACTGCCAGCTAAGAAGATGATTTTAAATATGGAGTTTTATATACAGGTGAACTGTTATTTAGATTTAAAGACAAATGGTTTTGGACATTCAAAATTCCAGGAAGTTTGTTATTCATATCAATTGGAGTTCTTTGTAGCAAACTTGTAGAAATTAACCTTGATTGAGTTAAGCAAAAAAAAAAAACTTACTGCAAAGATTTGAGGTGATGCACAGAGTTGTCAGAAAGGCTTGGAAAATAGGTAGATACCTACAGCTCCAGTGCTATGGCCAAATCATGCCCTAGAAATTAGGTAGTATGGGCCTAATTCTGCTGGGCGCTCCCTCTGCTGGGCACAGCACAGGGCTGGCTAGAACACTTGCACTGCTCCTGATCCCATGTATGAAGGCACCATTGTCTCCAGAATCTAGAGACACCGGGGCAGACCCCTTCCCCTTTCTTGTCTTTCTGTCCCCTTTTTTGGAACACTTGCAGTAAGCCCAGAGCTCTGGAACAGAGCATCAGATGGCCAAGGTAAGCTGGATGTGTCCACCGTGGATACCACAGGGCAAGACAGAGTGTTTGCCTTTGTCTTACTGATGGTAGGAGAGAGATCTAGGATATTCCAGCCAAATGAAAAATGAACCCCAGGAGAGGGGGAAGTCATGGGCTTCATGTCAGGGGGTATTTGTGTCAAGAAAGCTGAAGGTCTGGTGGCTGGTAATTTTTATCTTATTTCCTAGGCAAGTTTTAGTGTGTCCAGGATCTCAGGCAATGAGGTTGGGGTCAAGTTTCTGATGCAGTCCTGAACTCTCCTGTCACTAGGATCAGCACAGACAAGTTTTCCCTTTTTGGTGAGGAAGCTGGAGAGAGAAGACAATGATTACACAGTGAAATGTCCTCTGTAATGGCAATGAGGCGCCCCATCCTTCCCTTGCCCCCTCAACTTCCCCACTCAACAGTCTGTTCTTTCCATTCTCTGCAGAAGGCCACTCAGGGCCAGTCTCCCCTCAGACAGCCTTTCTCAGCCTGTGGGACTCCCCAGTGACCTGTGGGTGTGTCCTTAGGCCCCTTTCTTTCTGTTCTCTCCTTCCTTCTTCCTCCTCCCTCTTCTTCTTTTTTGCCCTGCAGGCTTCTACTAAGGACACAAGCTGTTCCCTACTCTGGCAGGATCCAGGGGTAGGACCAGCAAGGCTTCCTGCAAGGCTCCCTGTAATCCACGATCGGTGAATTTGGTACTTACATGACTCCTGGACGGGGGCACCCACTACTTGTCCTAAAATAATCTTCCATGAGTCTACACTGGATCTTTCGTGAAGTATAGGAGAAGCAGCAGTCAGCAGGTTGGTGAAAGCCTGCAGGGAGAGAAAGGGGCATTTGAAATGTCAAAGCTTTTCCCTCGAGAATACAGTGGTGGGTACCATGAAGGATACTATGGAGAAAGAATGCTTGCTCCTACTTGGCCAGCACTTGCTGCCATCTCCCTTCTCTAGATCCTTGCTACCATTGGGCAGCATGCCTGAGGGCACCCAAGATGAGCCCCGGCAGTGCCAGAAGCATTTCTTCAGAAGAGGAAGATATCTGCAGACACCTGCAGGCATCACAGAGCACCCTGTGCTCCGAGTATGCTGACTCTCAGGTCAGTGAGGTGGGAATGGAGAACATGTCTTTGGAGGAGGTACCAGGGCCTCTGCTGATCTTCCCTGGAGAGCTGAACCCCCTTAGGATGCTTTTGTTCTCCCCCTGTCCTGTAAACAGGTAGATGAAGTGATAAGCTGATGTGCTCCCATGTTGTGTTTAAATATATGCTCTAATCGAATATTTACCATGCTGAATTGTTGGAAGTTGATGTTGATCCACTGTCCTCTGTAGTTCTAACTCCATATCTAGAAGAAACAGGGCAAGGAGAGAAATTTTTAGGAGGCATCTCAGCATCTCTGCTCATCCTATTCCTCACCCCTATCGTAAGGAGGAGACTGATGCTGGACCATGCTGCTTGTCTGGATCTTAGGCATCCTCCATTAGTGCCCTAAGATTTTCCAGGGACTGTTAAAGTTTAAATATGAAATGTGTTGAGGGCTTGGCTCCAATGCAGAAATACTTGGCTGTTGGACCTAAAGAGGTGCTTAGATCATAATGGCATTAACTCCATCAGTCAGTTAATGAGCTCAGAGCTGAATGTGCTGTTAGGAGGTGGGCCCAACTGGAGGAAGTCATCACTGGGAGCAGCCTTTGAAGAGTAAATCCTGCACCAGCCCCTTTCTCCTTTTCTGGCTCCTTCCCTCTGTTTCCCAACTGCCATGGGGCCAACTTTCTCTATCAGTGTTCCTGTTAGAGCCTGCTGATTGTGGGCTAAAACCATGAGCCAAAATAAACTTTTTCTCCTTTACATTGTGTATATCAGTTATTTTGTGGCAACACAAAGCTGACCAATACAGCAACCTTTTGAAAATGTTTGGTACGGGAAAGCATTAGGCTGACTCTCAAACACTAAAAGCTATAAATCTAACATATAAGTTAAACAAAGATCACATAATGTGATACAGACTACAGTTTCTTTGCACCACACATTTCTGGAATCTGCAGGACTCTGGAAAGAGCAAGTTTTTCATCAACTCACTTAGTGGCAACATGTCTGTTGAAGTGAAGTGAGTCTATTTGCAGTTTTTATTTATCTAACTTAGTACAAATATCTGTATGTGTTTGGTTAAAGCCTGTTCCCCAGATGCTACTGGGGAGGGTTAAAGTAGTATCCAGTCATGCATTATTTTTCAAAACCAGAAAAATTCCAAAATATATGTAACCCCAGAGTTTGTAGATAAAGATTGTCCCTCTGTGTTAAGCTAATTAGGCAAACACTGTATAACCCAGCTGAGCCTTTAACACTTCAAGACCCTTTTGCCTCAGCCTCTTGAGTGCTGGGATTACAGGCATGCACCATCGCACCCAGTTTAGCTTTTTAAATAGTTCCAAATAAGCTGTATTGAATAAGGCACTTAACATATTTGATATGTTACAGATAGACTTGCTAAAAAAAGAAACAACAAAAAATATGAAACAACATTGTCTTACCATAACTACTTCTTAAGTGATACCCTAATTTCTCCACTTAGTAGCTGTGTGATATTAAGCAAGTTGTTATTTCTACACCTTACTTTTCTCACTTGTAAAATGAGAGCTCTTATGTGTAACATGTAAAACTATATAAAATTGCTGATGTCTTTCTATTTTGTTTCCCTTCAGGAACAGCAGATTTACATTGTTCAACCTAGTATCTACCTTGCAGGGTTATTAGGGAATCAATATGTTAATGTCCATAAAACACTTAGAATATTGGCTGCCTAGTACATAGAAAGTATTGGGTAATTATTTAAGTTAAAAGAGAAAATGGATATGTGACCATCAATCATTAGCTATTTCTTAAAAAATTAGAATTGTTAGATGACTATCAGTCACATTTAAAAATTTTTGTTTTCTGTGTATTACAGTGTTTAGACATTTTAAAAGTCTCAACAGCTAGGTGGCCACTGCCTCTCCCAGGATTAGCCAGTTCTTAGAGACAGCAAAGTGTTCAAACCAAATTATGCTGAGCACTTATGTCCAACCCTGCCTTTATCTAACTCTCAAGCACCATCCCAGTGTTTCTCCTGCTCCAAATCATCTCAAAGCCAGGTATCAGACAGATTGAGACAATCCCTACACCACAACCTGCTGGATACACTCAGGCTAACCCTTCCTAAACCAGATACAGTGCTTTGTCCTGACTCTCAGAAGTCCAGATAGGGGCTCTGGCATAACTGTTCCCTCTTGTTTATTCTTTCTTGTGAAGTGTAAGTAATGAGCCCCCCACCCCACCCCCAAGTGCTGTTGCTATTTGAATAGACTCTATACCCATGCCTGGGATGTAGAGTAATTGTAGGGTGCATTGGTGCCCCTCTGTGTCTCCTTCCCTGGCTGTGAGTTTCTGTGGCCCTGAATAGCAGGGAGAAGTCTCAGCTGACTCACCATATATGAGCTGGGCCTGGGATCCAAGGACAGCAGCAAGGATGAGGAAGGAGAGAGCAGCTGTGGAGACCTTCATCCTCATGATAGGCTGGCAGATCTGACCTGAGACTCCCAGGTTCCTGAGTCCTGGACTCTTTGGCTGCTCTGGTATTTATATAAGAGGCAGATCAGGAAGTGCCATAGCAGAGGTCAGGATGCTATTTGTTCTTTGTCTACATAATAACATACTATTTCTAAAAAAGGGAACATGACTGAGAATATATCAGGAAGTAGAGAGCAAAAGTGAATTGGGACTTTCCCAATTGTTTCAGTAGGGATGGGGAAAGAGCATAAATATTTGTAGGATTATTCCTCTAAGATATTCGTGTGATTCTCTAAAGCTGATTGCCACAAGGACTTCTTGGGTCTTGTTCAACTGGGCCAGGTGCCCCTCATAAATGCTTCTTTGCATATGGTTCTTAAATATACTATAATCCCGATTACATTCTATTTTAAATTCTTATTAATGTCATCCTCCTGATATAACAGGGTGTATGTATGTATATACATATGAGTATGGTTAACAGAATACATACATAACACAAGATTTGTATTCTTAACAAATGCCTAAGAGTGTACATATAAAGTCCTTGAAGAGTTTTGAGGCACATAGAACTCCAACTAGCCATGATTTAAAAAAAAAAAAAAAACCTATGGTGAGGCATATTATGGTCAAGATTCCAGAAATTCAACACAAGCATAGAATATTAAAAACTGTTAGAGTAAAGAAATAAATCACCTATAAAGGAGAGCCAATCAGAGTCACAGCTGGCTTCTCAACACAAACCATCAAGTCAAGGAAGGCCTTAAAAGAAAACAACCTCTGATTTAGATTGATGCACCCTGCAAAACTATCTTTAAGTTTTAGTGTATGTGCTGCCAAAGAGAGCTCAAAAACTGTCTTTCAAAATTGAAGGTTGTGGCTTGGGATTTAGCTCAGTGGCATAAGTGCCTGCCTGGCCAGCGCAAGGTTGTGAGTTCAATCCCCGGTACCAAACAAACAAAATTGAAGGATAAATAAGATACTCCCATGACAAAGAACACATGAGGGAACTCATGAACACCAAGCCAGCACTCCAAAATGTTCTGAAGGACATTCTAGAAAGAGATAACAAGAACTACAAATCCATGAACCCCAACGGAATGAATCCACCAGGCAAGGCAATTAGAAGAGGGAAAAGCGGGAGCCAACAACAGGAAAATAACATGACAAGGATAAATCTACACATGTCAGTTATAATTATCAGTGCTAGTAGTCTCAATTCACCAATCAAAAGAAACACACTAGAAAAATGGATTAAGACGCAAGACCCGACAATATTTGCTTACAAGAAACACATTTAGTTAAAAAAGGAATTCATAGACAAAGTCAAAGAACAGAAAACAATATTCTGTGCAGCAGAACCCAGAAAAAAGAAAGAGTAGCTATTCTATTTGCAGACAAAGTGCATTTCAAATGACTGATTAAGGGAGACAAAGAACGTCATTACATCCTTGTAAGGGGAATAAATATTTATGCATTTATTCAAATACCTATGCACCCAACTAAATGAAACAAATTTTAATGAACATGAAAAATCAAATAAACACTAATGTAATTATAGCAGGGAACCTCAATGCTCTACTGTCACAAGTAGACAGATCAAGTAGGTAAAAAATGGAACAATGAAATATTAGAACTGAACCAATCTTCTGAATAAATGAACTTGGTAGGTAGCTACAGAGTGTTCCACCCCACAACATCAGAATACACATTCTTCTCAGAATGTGTACATGGGACATTCTCCATAATATTATTATGGAGAATTAGCTCATAGTACCTGCATAAGTAAATTAAAAGGAATCAAAGTTATCCCATGCATATTATCAGATAAAAGTGCAATGAAATTGGAAATAAATGGCGTAAGAAATCACAAGAACTTCATAAACACATCAGAATTACAGAATACCCTCCTGAACAACTGAGGGGTCACAATTAAAGAAGAAATTAGATGGTTTTTACAATTAAATGGTAAAGACAATACAGAGTATCAGAACTGATGGGACACATGAAAGCGTCTTCTGAGGGAAATTTATATGATGAACACTCATATCAGGAAAACAAAGAGAGATCAAATAACCTACTCAATATCAAACCTCAACCTTTTAGAAAAAGAGCAGGACAAGCCCAAAGCTCACACAATGGAGGAAATTATAAAGAGCAGAGCAGTGGAGACTAAAATAGCAATACAGAGAATCAATGAATCTAAACTTTGTTCTTTGGAAGATTAAATAAAATCAAGAAACTCATAGCCAACTTTACCAAAAAAGGAAAGAAAAGACTCAAATCCATACAATTAGGAATGAAAAGTGTGAAATCACAATGGATCCTGCAGCAATCCAGAAGATCATCTATACCTAATTTGAGAACTTGTATTCTAATAAGATGGAAAATGCAGAAGAAATGGACAGACTCCTAGGTACACATAAATTACCTAAGTTGAGTCAAGAAGATATAAAAATCTTAATAAACCAATGCCAATCAATGAAATTGATATAATTATCAACAAGGAAAGCTAAGGCCCTGATGGATTCATTGTTGAATTCTGCAAGACATTTAGAGAAGATCTAATATCACTACTTCTCCAACTCATTAATGAAATTGGAAGGGAAGCTGTACTCTCAAATTCATTCGTGGAAACAAGCTTTCCCCTGTTACTGAAACTAGAGAAGGACCCAACTAAGAAAGAAAACTACAGGCTAATCTCCCCAGTGAACCTAGATGAAAAAATGCTCAGTAAGATATTGGCAAGCAGAATTCAGCAAATCATCAAGAAAATTACACACCATGACCAAGCAGGATCCTGGGCATGCAGGGGATGGTTCAGCATATGTAAATCAATAAACATAATACACCATATTAACAGAGTGGAAGACAAAAGTCGTATGATCATCTCAATAGATGCAGAAGAAACTTTTGACAAAGTCCACTAACAATAAAAACCCTACAGTAAACTGGAATAGATGGTGTTTTTCTCATTCTGAAATGTGACAGACCAACGGCCAACATCATACTAAGTGAACATAAACTGAAAGCTTTCATTCTAAAATCAGGAACAAGACAAGGATGTCTACTGTCAACACTCTTATTCAATATAGTTCTGGAAACTTTAGCCAGAGCAATTAGATGAGAGAAAGAAATAAAAGAAATAACAATAGGAAAGGAAGAAGTTAAATTATCATTATTTGCAAATAACATGATTCTCTACATAAAGGACCCCCAAAACTCCATCAAAAGATCTCTATATTTAATAAAGTCATTAGCCTACTTGGATACAAAGTCAACACTCAAAAATCAATAGCTTTTCTGTAAATGAATAGAAAACTCACTGAGCGGGAAATTAAGGAAGCAACACCTTTCACAATAGCATCCAAAAAAAATGAAATATATAGGAACCAGTGTAATGAAGGAAGTAAAAGGCCGCTATATTGAAAAGTCTAGTCCTCTGAAAAAGGAGATTGAAGAGAATATCAGAAAGTGGAAGATATCCCCTGTTCTTGTGTAAGAAAAATCAACATAGTGAAAATGGCCATGCTTCCAAAATTGTTAAACAGATTTTAGATTCAATTCTAATCAAAATTCCAACAGAATATTTTACAGAATTAGGGAAGACATTCCTAAAATTCATTTGGAACCAGAAGAGACCTAGAATAGCAAAGGCAATTCTGAGCAGCAAAGGCAAGGCAGTAGGCATCAGAATCCCAGATTTCAAGTTATACTACAAAGTTACGGTGATCAAACAAACAACAACAAAAACAGCAAGGTATTGGGGGAAAAAAAGACCTGAGGATTAATGGAACAGAGTAGAAGATGCAGAAAGAACTCCAAACTTACTTAGCCAACTTATCTTTGGCAAAGGTACCAAACACCTTTACTGGAAGAAAGTTAGCTTCCATAATAAATGGCTTTGGAAAAACTGGCTTTCCACATGCTGAAGATTAAAATTGGACCTTTATCTTTAACCCAACACTAAAATAAATTCAGAATGGATCAAAGGTCTAAACATTAAAATTGAAACATTAAATTGGCTGGAAGATAGAATAGGTAGAACTCTTGAAGACACTGGTATAGGCAGAGACTTTATGAACAAAACTCTGTAGGAACTGTCACAAAGAATCAGCAACTGGGATCTCATCTTATTAAAAGGCCTTTGCACAGCAAGAGAAACCAGCAACAGAATGAAGAGACAATTCACACACTGTGAATAAATTTTTGCCAGTTGTCCCTCAGACAAAGGATTACTATGAAGAATGTGTAAAGACCTAAAAAAAAAATCAGATCTCCCAAATTTAAAGATCCAATCCAAAAATGGGCATCCGAGATGCATATATATATATTTTTTCATATGAAGAAGTAGAAACATCAAATAGACACAGGAATATATGTTCAACAACACTGGTCATTGGAGAGATGCAAATTAAAACCACGCTGATATTTCACGGCTATTATCAAGAAATCAAGGACAAAAGCATGTCTGTTATCAAGAAATCAAACAATAACAGATGTTGTTGAGACTGTAGGAGAAAAAGAACCCTTCTCCACTGTTGGGGGGAGTGTAGCCTGGGGCAACCACTGCGGAAATCAGTGTTCAGATTCCTCAGAAAACTAAGATTAGATGTTCCATTTGACCAGGCTATTCCCCTCATTGCTATCTTCTCTAAAATTTAAAGGCATTGTACCACAGAGATGTATGCACACTCATGTTTATAGCAGCACAGTTTATAACAGCTAAATGTTGGAAACAGCCCAAATGCCCATCAAGTAGTGAGCGGATAAAGAAGAGGTGGTTCTTTACTACGATGGAGTATTATTGTACCATTAAGAAGAATACACTCAAGACATTTCTAGACAAATGGATGCACCTTGAGACAATATTCTTATGTGGAATAGATTGGACACATATATATATATATATATATATACCACATTGTTTGTTTAATGGGAAAAACTGAAAGTATAAATAAGGAGCAAAATATATAATAGGTATTATAAATATAAAGAAAATATTCAAAAGGGGGGAAGAACAAAGCGGATAAAGGGATAGGAAAGAAGAGAAAAGTAAAAAAACAACAAAAGAAAATGGAAACAAAGGTTTCACAAATGGAGAGGGGAGGAGGGATTGAAGAGAGGGTAGGGTAATGGGGGAAAAGGAATCAAGTTGTATCATGTACAGGTTCAAATTCTCTATGATAAATGTGATCATTACATATATCTAAAATGTACCAATAAAATCTGATTTTAAAAGAACTAGGCAAAGTCATGAGTGCTTGCCTTTCTAGATCATATTGGAGTATTATGACTCCAGGAGTCCCTAAATGTGCTTTTGATTGCTGGTCTATTTACTGTTGATCAGGCCCTATGGTTTTTGAAATTATGTATAACTTGAAATTATTTGTTTAGCACAAATGCAAATCATTTCAGTTCACCAGAATACAATCCTCAAAGTTAGCTTTATTATTGCCTTGTATATAGAATATTGATCTGTGCTTTAGTTTAGCAAACTTGTTTCAGAATATTATCATTGGAGGAGCTTGGGACCTTGTTGAGGAGATTGGTTGTGGTTCACTTTGGGGGAGCCCTGGTCTTTACACTGAGCATCACTTCCTGGCTCTGGAGGGGAAGATGTGTGTTGTTATATCTCCAGAAGTGTTATGCTGGCTTCCAGGCATGTGCTCGATTCTTCTTATCATTGGAGGAGTTCAGGACTTCATTGTCACTGAGGATGACTGTGGCACTTTTCAGAGCAGCCCAGTCCTTACTTTGAGCGTGAATTCTTGGCTCCGATGTAGAACGCTTAACCTTACTGGCACAGCTCCTTCACCCGCTGGCATAGATTTTCTAGCTTCTACCACTGACCTTTGGGCCTTCCCAGCACATATCCAAAAAACAGACTGGTTTGAGTCCTCGTTCTGGACTCTAGAACTCCAGTTTGACTTACAGGAGGCATTGTCATGGGCTCTAGGTCTTCATCTGTACTCATGCAGGACATTGCTGTGGAATCCAGCCAGGCCCTTGGGCTGGATCTGTGTCTTTAGTGTTGTGGACAAATTTCCTGCACTTTCTTGTATTTAACTTTGGGTGACCATCATAAAATAGTATTATAAATTATATGTCCTGTATGTAATTGTTCCCCTTATGACCACTGACTAACACACACACACACACACACACACACACACACAGAGAGAGAGAGAGAGAGAGAGAGAGAGAGAGAGAGAGAGAGAGAGAGAGAGCTATATAGCTGTGATGGCTCTTGTTTTGAAAACAATATTTATCCTAAGTTGAGTAATTCCCTCTTTTTTTCTCCTCTTAAACTTCAAGTAATGTAAGTTAGATATTGCTCCCAAATAACCCAGACCTAATGTGTGAGGACTTGCTCCAAATGCTGTAAGATAGGAGAAACAGAGATCGACAGATCTAGGATTGCAGAGAGTGTAGTTTAACTGGGGAATTGGAATTGGAAGTTTAATTCCAGGTGACAGAAAGGCCAGTTCAACCCCTGCAATTTGAGTTAGAAAGTGGGGGAATATATATGGGTTAGGCCCAAGGTGAATTGATTCTAGCTGTAATATCTTTCGTTTGTCTTAAGATAACCTCAATGAATCAGTGACATTTCTTGGCTATAAAGCCCCACCTACCATTGTAATGAGTATAAAAAGGCGTGTGTAAGTGTATCCACTTATAGCAATAGGGTGCACTAGCTGATTGTGCCACTGGAGCTCCATTTATCCCTTTATAGTTTGCCGGAAAATGTGCAGAAAAATATAATTAGTTATTTGGAGGGCAACCATGCAGTTACAAATCAAGATGGCTACAGTAATGTCCAGACAGGTACTGTTTATTAATCCATTTTTAAAAGAAGAGACAGTGTTGTTTTTTAAAAAAACAATTCAAGCCAAGAAACATCCAGAAAGTATTTGTGTCAAGAAAGCTGAAGGTCTGGTGCCTGGTAATTTTTATCTTATTTCCTAGGCAAGTTTTAGTGTGTCCAGGATCTCAGGCAATGAGGTTGGGGTCAAGTTTCTGATGCAGTCCTGAACTCTCCTGTCACTAGGATCAGCACAGACAAGTTGTCCCTTTTTGGTGAGGAAGCTGGAGAGAGAAGACAATGATTACACAGTGAAATGTCCTCTGTAATGGCAATGAGGCGCCCCATCCTTCCCTTGCCCCCTCAACTTCCCCACTCAACAGTCTGTTCTTTCCATTCTCTGCAGAAGGCCACTCAGGGCCAGTCTCCCCTCAGACAGCCTTTCTCAGCCTGTGGGACTCCCCAGTGACCTGTGGGTGTGTCCTTAGGCCCCTTTCTTTCTGTTCTCTCCTTCCTTCTTCCTCTTCCCTCTTCTCTTTTTTGCCCTGCAGGCTTCTACTAAGGACACAAGCTGTTCCCTACTCTGGCAGGATCCAGGGGTGGGACCAGCAAGGCTTCCTGCAAGGCTCCCTGTAATCCATGATCAGTGAATTTGGTACTTACATGACTCCTGGCCGGGGGCACCCACTACTTGTCCTAAAATAATCTTCCATGAGTCTACACTGGATCTTTCGTGAAGTATAGGAGAAGCAGCAGTCAGCAGGTTGGTGAAAGCCTGCAGGGAGAAAAAGGGGCATTTGAAATGTCAAAGCTTTTCCCTCGAGAATACAGTGGTGGGTACCATGAAGGATACTATGGAGAAAGAATGCTTGCTCCTACTTGGCCAGCACTTGCTGCCATCTCCCTTCTCTAGATCCTTGCCAGCGTTGGGCAGCATGCCTGAGGGCACCCAAGATGAGCCCCGGCAGTGCCAGAAGTGTTTCTTCAGAAGAGGAAGATATCTGCAGACACCTGCAGGCATCACAGAGCACCCTGTGCTCCGAGTGTGCTAACTCTCAGGTCAGTGAGGTGGGAATAGAGAACGTGTCTTTGGAGGAGGTACCAGGGCTTCTGCTGATCTTCCCTGGAGAGCTGAACCCTGTTAGGATGCTTTTGTTTTCCCCCTGCCCTGTGAACAGGTAGATGAAGCCACCGTGCAGATCTGTACCACTTACTGTATTTAGATATATTTAACATCTGGTCATTTGGGGCTGGGGATTTAGCTCAGTGGCTTAAGTGACTGCTTGGAAAGCACAAGGTCATGAGTTTGATCCCTCGTACCAAAAAAAAAAAAAAAAAAAAAAAAAAAAAACCCAAAAAAACAAAAACCCAAGAAACAAAAAACAAAAAAACCCATCTGGTCATTTACCGTGAAGTACTGGTCTAAAGTCATCGTCCAATTTCAAGTGTTCTCTAATCTTTGAATCTGGAAGAAACATACAGCATGGGCAAAGCAATGAGTAGGAGGCCACATGTTCTCATGTTCCTAGGCCTCCATTTTTTCATTTATAAAATAAAAATAATACTCAAAACTATAAAATTACTAATGTCCTGCCATCTTTTTCCTACAAAAAAAGGCTAATTCAATTTGTTTAACATATCTACCATACAGGGTTGTTAGGAGGAACAAATATGTTAACATCTGTAAAACATCTGGGGCAGTGCTTGTCCTATATACAGGAAATATTATATGTGTATTTTTTAAATGAAAATGGAATAATAGGTGATTTTGGGTAAGTTGTTTTGGGTAGTGATCCTATTACTTCCTTTCCAAAGTGACAGATTCATATTTGATTTTGGGTAGGTGTTCTAGCATTGTAGAATTCTATGCTTCTCAAAATTTAAAATTGTACTGAAGTATACTTTGATCTAGCACTTAATAGTCTTAGGTTAGCAAAGAGAACATATCAAATAATTTTGACAATGAAAAAGAAAATTATTTCCCCATTAAGATCAACAACTGTGTGCAGTTTCCCCCAGGGAACAAAGGCTGCAAACAGAGACAGGTCTGTACCTTGCTGTTGCAATAGCTGTGGGGTACAGTGATCCCCCTTTGTATCTCCTCCTCCCCCCAGCTGAGATACTGTGGTTCTGGCCACCAGTGAAAAGACTTATTTGACTTACCATGTATGATGCTAGCCTGGGACCCAAGGGCAGCAGCAATGATGAGGAAGGAGAGGGCAGCCATGCAGATCATTATTCTTACTGTGGGCAGGCAGAGCTGGTTTGAGGAATCTTGGTCTCCCTGCTCTCTGACTTCTTGTCTTACCTTAGTATTTATAAGATGAAGATCAGGAAGTCATAGGGAAGAGGTCAATGTGCTACTCTTCGGCTATATACTAATCAACCCTCTCTTTCCAAAAGAGGGAACAAGGCTGAGAACACAACAGGAAGCAGACAGCCAAGAGTGCAATAGGAAGTGAGGGCAAAGATGATTGGACTGTCCTTATGGTGTTCCCTAACTGTCCTAGGGGGTACTGGAAAAGACAGTGAATATTTTAAGACAGATCCTTTCTTATAGAAAATTTATTAATCCTCTAAATTGGAGGACAGTTCCCAACAGCCAGAACTGAGCCATCTTCCAGGTCTTAGTAGCCTATAAATGTAGGGTTCATCAGAGAGAGAGAGAGAGAGAGAGAGAGAGAGAGAGAGAGAGAGAGAGAGAGAGAGAGAGAAAGAGAGAGAGAGAGGGAGAGAGAGAGAGAGAGAGAGAAGTAACTTGTAAACCTGGTCGCGAGTCCCTTCAGTGCCTGGAGATATGCTTATGCTTCCCTTTGTCACATCTAACTCATTAGTGAGTACTTCTAGCTTTTATCTTCAAAAACATATGCAGACTCTTATTCCTTGAAAGAAAAACTTCAGTGTCTTCTCTATGTTGTTGCTCTCAATATTTTCCTTCTGACACCATCACTTGGGGTAGCAGAGACCCCACACCCCTTTAGTCTATGAATCTTTATCCACTTCAGATTTTAGTCCTAGGTTATGGGTTCTCAGGTTTTCCACACCTTCAGTCTGAGTTGGCTACAAATCTCAAGATTCCATACCCTCATTTCGGAGGTGTAGTTCTGCTAGAACAGCTCATAAAATTCAGGAAAATAATTTACTAGTTATACTATCAGTGTATTAGAAAGACTGCAACTCAGAAACAGCCAAATGGAGAGGTGTTATTGATCAGTCCAAACAAAAATTGCAAAAGTAAAAAACAATTTATTTGGGGTCTTAGTTCCTTTGGGAGTCATCCTTGAGTTATTTTTGTTTTCCATCCTTCTGACCTTCTGAAAATTTGCTTCCCTTTCCTAATCTTTGTGCAAGAATTGTATCCCCTGGTTTTTGTCCAGCATTCTAAATTCTAAAGATTTAGCCAAATGATTAAGATTTACAGAATCTGGGAACATCTGGTGGCCTTCAGATAACATCAGAGTGTGTCATGCTCCTACTTTTCTTTTAGCCCAGTGCATCAACCAACACAAAATGTGTAAATTGCCATGAGGCTTAACTTGCAGAAAAGTACTGTGGTCTGTCTCAAAGAGCTACAGTGACTAGTTCTAGGAGACTGAATTCTATTTCAGTGTTCTAGTGAAGAACTTAGAAGACACTTCCCTAGATGATGAAGATCTCATTCAGTAACTAGATAGCCTGTCCTGTTCCTCTTTTCCTTCTCCATAAAAGTCCAGTTATGGTTTGGATCTTAAATATCTCCCTGAAGTTCATGCTTTGAAGACTTCATTCCCAGTTGATCGTGCAATTGCAAGTGATGGAAACTTTAGGATCTGGGGTCTTGTTGGAGGAGGGTGGAGATCACTAGGCTGCTGACCATGGACTGAAACCTCTGAAAACATGAACCCTAATCTTTTTTCTTTAAGTTGATTTTTCTCAGGTGTTTAGTCACAGGAGTAGAAACCTAACATAAATTTATTGTGTCCTAAATTCCCCAAAATGGAGCTTTTAGGGTGAGTTTAACATCATCCAAGGTTTTAGTCCAGTAAACATGAGGAATTGCAGTCTGGAAATATAGATTCAGATAGCCCTAACTTGGTGTTCTGAAAAAGGCAAGGAAAGTAAGAAGTTATACTGAGTAAGCAGTGTTGAACTCCTATAAAGCAGGAAAACTTATTTTGTGGGGAAACTTCTGTTGGATTAAGAACAGGGTACTATGTGATAGGAGCTATGTGACCAATAGAAGATAAGGAAAATAATGTATATACTTCGCTTTAAAAACTTCATAAAGCAAGAGCCTGATAATTTTTAATATGAGTGGTAAGTCTCTGGGCACAAGGTTATTATTGGTGGTAGCTGCCTGTAGTTGGAAGGTAACCCATGTTCATACTCTTAGGCAGTAGAGTTGTATGTAGGTCCTTCTCTATCAATGGCCTTCTGGATCCATTTTGAAAAGCTCTTTCAGTATTGCCTTTCTCATAATTTTTCCTTCATTTTCACCTTGCATGAACAAAGTCTGGGGGAGGGGCATGGAGCTTCTTTGCCCTCTCCAGATGTGCCACTTATCTGATACCTCCACTTGTTCTCCAATGCAGAAGTGCTCTGAACCTTATCCTCTTGAAATTTTGTGGAGGCTTTATAATAAGCACAATGATTAAATCATTGACTGTTGGTGCTCACATCAATCGCCAGGCTCTCTCCTCTCCATGGAATTTGAGACAGGATCTGAAAATCCCAACCCCCCAATGGTTGGTTCTTTTGTAACCCTTAATCCTTAGGGTGTTTCAAAATCACCTCATTAACATAAACTCAAGTCTAGTTTACAAGAGCTGATTGTGAATAACAAAACTCCTGTCATCATTTTGCCTCATCACTTGGAGCTCTGTGTCAGGAACCAGGGTAAAGCTGTCATACTACTCATCACCTCACCTCTTTCTGTCCTGCCTAACCCATCCTTGTTTGTCACTAAGACTATTGCAGAAGCCCCTCAACTTGTTTCTTTGCTTCTCTTCTTGCCCACTTTATTCTCAGCACTGCAGTCACAGCAATCCTGTTTATGCTAGATCAGGTCAATACTGTGCAAAAACCCTGCGATGGCTTATTAATCCCACGCAGTGGAAAGCCCAGTCCTTACAACAAGCTATAAGCCCTTCGGATATCTGGTCTCTATTTGTTCTATTTTTACATTCTACTACTCTTTCCCTTATTCACTGCGCTTCAGTTATGAAAGTTGGCTCCAGCCTGTGGCTTTTTGTTTCCTCTGCCTGATTACTTTGCTCTCAACTGTCAGCACTCTACCTAAAATGAGTACCTCCAGCCAAATATCCTTTTCTCATATGTACTAACATTATCTAACATACTAGGTATTTTACCCCTAAACTTTTCAAAGTTCACTTCTCCTACTAGAACATACACTACACGAGAGCAGTATACACTACCATTCCTCTAGTGTCTGGCACATAATAAGTTCTTATTTCAGCCTAAGTTCTCCTGAAAACTCTTAGGTGCACTTAGTTTGTTTGGGAAGTGCTCCTGGGAGCAGGAGTGGAAGACTGGGCCCCTTAAGATTACCGGTGCTTGACTCTACTTGGATTTTTTGGAAGACACTTATGAAATACATCTTAGAATATTTGAGGAGTAAATGGGAAGCATTTATTTCTTAGTTTCTACCCCTGTAAGCATTTAAAAATAAGCCTCAAGTTCTTTGACAATCTTCCTACTGAGCAGTGGAGTTTATGTCTTCTTGCCTTGGAGCTATAATCGGATGAATGCTTGAAGCTTCAACCCTGATCACTGAAATGCTCAGTCCTGGAATACTGATCTGACATAGGAAGAGGCTAAGTAGCTTGAGGCTACTAGACTACGAGGGAGCCCAAACCACATGCTCATATTTTGGTTGCTGTTTCCAAATGAGCATAACCTTCAAATTATCCCAGCCTAGGTGCTGGATACAGGAATGAAGAAGACTCTGGGTCTACACTGTCAAAAACCACAGCCACTACATGAAGCTACTGAACACTTCAGATGGACTAAGTTAAATCAGGATGCACTGAAAGTGTAAGCTACACACTGAATTCCAAAGATTTACTACCAACCCCATCTCAGTAATTTTTGTATTGATCATTTGTTGAAAAGAAAAAATTGGGGGTATGCTGAGTTAAATAAAATATAATATTAAATTAATTTCTTTTTTTACTTTTTAGATATGGGAGAACTCAAAATTACATATGTGAATTTTATTATATTTCTGTAGGCTATCACCAGTCTAGTTGATTCCAGCCCATAGCCACCTTAGTGACTTCTTGCTACTTGTGTTTTTTTTTTTTTAAATCGGTACTAGGGCTCAAACTCACGGTCACGCACTTACTCCCCAGCTGTAATACTTGTGTTTTAACAGAGGCCCCATGGAGCAGAGAGCAGCCCTCCCTGCTGTGGTGGAGTAACTAATGGTCACCTTATAACATGCAGCTGAACTGAATTAGCATGGCTTCCACGTGGGAGGCCCACCTGAGCAGCAAAAAAGGAGAACTTGAGGGGCAGATGGGGGATGTTCTTGATTTCCTTGGAGAGGCTCATCGTGCTGGTTTTCCTGAGATGGACTCAGATGTTCTCATCATTGGAGGAGCTCGGATCCTCGTTGTCGCTGAAGATGGCTGGGGTTCACTTTGGGGGAGCTGTTGTCTTTACCTTAAGCGTCACTTCCTGGCTCCAGTGCAGATTAGGTCTGCTGTCACAGATCCTTCATCATGCTGGCACTGACTTTCTAGCTCTTACCACTGAACTTTGGAACTTCCCAGTGCAGATCCTTGGTGCAGACTTGCATGAGACATTGTTGTGGGTTCTAGGCCTCCAGATGGACTAGTGCAGGACATTGCTGTGGGATCCAAGACATCATCTGGGTTCTTTGGGTCCCTTCTGGGTGGACAGATTTCCCACAGTCTTCTGCATTTGACTTTTTGGGTGATTATTATAAAATAATGCTATAAATTTTGTATCCTGTATTAAATCTATTCCCCTGCAAACCCTGACTACAACACCTGCTATGCCTTGAATCAACTTCTGACCCATCTACTGTGTGAACCTAGTTGTAGAATACTTGTTTGACACCACTATATTTTGGGTAGTTTATAAAAGACGTGGATAATGGATCATGGATCTTAATTTCTTCACACTTCTGTTCTTGCTCATGTAGGTATATTGAGCGTGTTCTTAGTTGTTTTACATTTCAGCATCAGTGAGACATCAGGACAGGAAGGGAGAGTTATAAAGTGCAGGCTGTGGTAAGACAGATGCTTATCTCATTCTAAGAAAACAGTGACTGAAGCACTGCTGAAGGCAAAGGGTAGGATCAAAAGGATGTGAAGTGGATGATTACAGTTCACCCTTGTTTCCCTCTGATGTAGATTGTTGGGTCCAATCCATCAAAACGCTTC